CATATTCTAGAACAAATTGGTTTAGGGCTTAAAGGGATCAAAGGCTTTGTTTTTAGGTAAAACTAGGTGTCAAGACGTGACCATAGAGAGGTCACGATGTGACAAGAGATTAATTGAGAAAGCTAATTTAGACTGAGCTCACGACGTGAGCAATAGGTGCTCACGACGTGATATAGGCTGCAGCCAAGCCTATGATCTTTTAGGGTTTCCTTCGTATTTAATCCACATAAACTTTATTTTGGGGTTCCTCAACAACCTCCTTCGCCCCTAAGCACATAAAAACCCTAGACCTAGCCCCTCCTTGTGATTCTTGAGCTCTTGGTGGAGTTTTGAAGGATTGAAGAAGAAGAGAACACCATTGGAGCATAGATTCAACTTGAAAGTTCCATTTGCAACCTCTAGCAACATCTTTGGACCATTGTGACTTATCAAGATTCAAGATTTTTTTTCCTTGTTGCTAGATATAAGGTTTTATGCATGTTTATCCCTGACTATAAGAGTTAGAGTGTTGGGACTCCATAAAGTAAGCAACTTTATGGGTCCTTAGAGTCCCTTGGTGATTATATGTAATGGATCTGAAGTTTAGATGATGTTTGAGTTCATACTTGATAATTTTATCCCCTTACGGTGTTAGGAAGCCTTCTGGAAAAGATGGATTGGTGGCTTAATATTAAGAAGTTTATGTACCAAAATTTCATTCATACTGATCTCACGACATGGGGCTTTGCATGTCACATCGTGAGGATCATGAGCCTCCTCTATTTTGTCCCTTAGTGGCTCACGACGTGAGCCATAGTTGGTCATGTCGTGAGGGGTTGTTTGACTGTTGACTTTCGTTGACCGTTGTCCGTTGACTTTTTTACCCCGTTTGACTTTGGGTCAAACTTGGAGGTTTTAGGTTGTTGATTAAGATTCTTCCATGATTTGGTGATAGAGAACTCATGGGAGAAATCAGTGGAGAAGGGACACGTGTTGCAGTGTTATGGGTTATTCGTTTCTGATGAGTTTTCCTAACTGTATTCGTGGGTCGAAGGCACCAAGGCCGGCCTGCTGAATTTTGTATCCTGGTATATAGGATGTTGCTATATTGTAGTAATCTGTTAGATCTCTATCCTAGTATATATAATGTTTCTATGATATAGTGATATGTTAGATATGTATCCTGGTATATAGGATGTTTCTAGGATGTAGTGATCTGTTAGATCTGTATCCTATTATATAGGATGTTGCTATGCGGTAGTGATTTGTAGATCTGTATGACTATATGTACTTGTTGGTTATTGATTATTATGGTATATGTTGATGTGATATGGTCAGTTGGGTTGAGGCGGTCCTGCTTTGTGCTGAAGGCCAGGATACCCAGGGCGGTCCAGATAGACTGAAGGCCTGCGAAGCGGTCCAGTCAGGCCGAAGGCCCAAAGAGCGGTCCGGATAGGATGTAGGCCCGGTGCAGCGGTCCAGTCATGTTGAAGGCTCTAAGAGCATTCTGGATAGTCTGTAGGCCCGATGTGGCAGTCCAGTCAGGTTGAAGGCTCATGTATGCATGTTGTTATTTATGGTATGGTTGTGTGTGATACCTTGGGGGAAATCACTATGCTTTGGCTTACAGTTTCAGGTACTTCAGATGTTCGGGGGAAAGAAAAGGCGTGATCATGCACATCCTTCAGATTTTTTTGTTATTGAACTTTGGGATACCATGACTTATGATTATAACTTTTGGAACAATGTTTTGTAAACAATTATGGTCTTTGGAATGGTTTTGTTGATTGGCAAATGAAAAACTTTTACCCTGATTTTTGGGATGTTTCATTAGATCTTGTTAGAGGTGGAGTTTTGTGCTTATTAGTCCCATAGCCTTGGTCCTTTTGAGTATGAGCTACTCTAGACCAAATAACTTGTCCTTCTGGACGTTTAGGGTGTCTAGAGTGATAAAAATGGAATCTTAATTGTCCTTATCTCTCCATGCATGCTATTTAGTGGTTTAGAATTTGTGTTAAGTTAGGGTTTTGGTATTGGACACTTAATAGCTATGCAAGATCATAAAGTTGGAAACTTTATGATTAGAACGCCATTTGATGACTAGATCTGGGTTTTGGACGAAGTGTGAAAATGAATTAAGCACTTATTAAAAATGAAAGCTGGTAGATGCGTATGACGTACTTGATGGTATGCAGCGCATATGTGGTCAACTCCCCATAATCTGGTCAAATGCATTTTACGTCACGCGTACAAGCTGAGTACGATGGGCGTACTCAGCTAATTTGACTCGGTTGACCCCTTTGACTTTTGACTTTAACCAGAATTCTGACTAAGTTTGACACATGGGTATTTTGAGTTGTGGATTGAGCTTTGGTCACTGGTTATTGTTAAGGTGATCAGTAGAGTTCGTATTCAGAGCAACATATTGTTTAGGTATTTCGTTAGTCTATGAGGTGAGTTTTCCTCACTGTACTTGTGGGTCGAAGGCACTAATGCCAACCCACTAGATTATGTATCCTGGTATATTGGATGATGTTATGCTGGTTATATGCTAGACGAGTAGATTTGTATGATTACCTAAGTTCACCAAGTATGTGTTAGAATGGTAGATCTGTATGATTATATATGTTGTTGGTTATTGATTGTTATTATATATGTCGACATGTTATGGTTTGTTGGGTTGAGGCGGTCCAACTTTGGGCTGAAGGCCAAGACACCTAGGGTAGTCTGGATAAACTGAAGACCCATTGAGGCGGTCCAGTCAGGCCGAAGGCCCGAAAAGCGGTCCAAATAGACTATAGGCCCATTGAGGCGGTCCAGTCATGCTGAAGGATCTGAGAGTGGTCCAGATAGGCTGCAGGCCCTGAGAGGCGGTCCATTCAGGCTGAAGGCTCATGTATGCATGCTATTATCTGTATGGTTATGTGTGTGTGTGTGGTACTTAGGGGAACTCACTAAGCTTTGGCTTATAGTTTCATTTTATTGTTTCAGGTACTTCAGATGATCGAGTGAAGCAAAGGTGTGATCGTGGACATCCTTCTGATTTTATGATATTGGATTTTGGGATACTTCAATTATGATTATTACTTTTGAAACAATGTTTTGTAAACAATTATGGTCTTTGGATTGGTTTTGAAAAATGAAAATTTTACTCTGATATTTGTGTCATAAGTTGGTATTAGAGCCCTGGTTTGAGAGAATTGGATGAACATTTGTGTGAATCCATAATCAAAATAAGGATTTGTAAAACTTTTCAAAAGTAACTAAGGAAGGACGAGATGTGTAAGATCAGCCGGAGCAAGCAAGTTTACCCCAAGTTACCCATACTGTTATTTGTTATTGATGATTATGATAGACTTACATGCCAATGGTAGGCTAGGGATCTTCCGGAATTGCATGATAGAATTGCCTGATGTCTGACACCTGATAGCCTAGGGTGACTTCTTGTATGTTATAAGAAATTGACATTATGTAACTAAGATTCTAGCCTGAGAATATTTAATTTAGCCTTATTTCATGTTCCTTGTTTGGTTGTGGGCTTAGGGTAGAATCAAGTATTCGACTCTCTATGGGATCCAATGTTATGTATGATCAGCATGCACGAGCGGTTATAGGGTTGGTAGAAGTTTCATGAGTGAGTATGTGGGTGTAGTAGGCCAGTTGAGGAAGGATTAGCCACTCTCGAGAGGGTGAGGACAGGATGTATGTGTATCCTAGTTGTGGGTTTGTTTGCGAGCAATTTGTGATGATCCATTGAGACACATACGGGTAGGTGTTGAAGGTAGTATGGGCCCATACTACTGGAAGCATAGGACCCGTACGTGTTGCAAGGAATTCACAAACCCTGAGGGTTAGTCTTGTCATTTTGGTTATAGCAGTATAAATTGTGGCCTTTCTAATGTATGTATTGGTTTATTTTCAGTATGGTGATGACGAGAGGTTTCGGTTCGGGAGCTGGTGTTCAGGATAGGCCAGGATTGACAAATGATGACATTCGCGAGTTGATAGCTACTAAGGTAGCTGTTGTTGTCCCGAGTTCTATTCCGGAGTTGTTTGGGTCTATCAATACTGCTATGATTGAGCTATTTTATGATTGCTATGCTACACTGACCGAGGTTGCTGCTGCTGCTGCAACTACCTCGACTATTGTTGCTGCGGGGGTTCGAGGGTAGAGATCATTCTAGTATCGGGACTTTGACAACACGAAGCCCCAAGAGTTCGATGGGTTCAAGGACCCAATTGTGGCGATAAAATGGTTCTATGATGTGGAGGGTTATTTCTTCACATGTTCTTGCACGGATGACTAGAAGGTCAAGTGTGCCTTGAACCTTCTCCGATTAGGGGCAAAGGATTGGTGGAGATTAGTGACCGGATCGTATACTCCTGAGCAGAGGGTTGCTGTTACTTGGGAGCAGTTCTTAAATATGTTTCATACGAGATATGTTCCCCTGGTGGAGAGGGAGAAATTGGCTAAGGAGTACCTATATCTGAGACAGACGACTGAGACGGTGACAAAGATCACCAATATGTTCACAAAGATGGCTCTCATCTGCCCTGAGTTTGCTGCTTCAGAGCAGGCCCAAATGAGTCGATACTTGAGCATGCTCAAAACAGATATCCGACAGGTCGTGTACACCCAACGTTATGGTACCTTCACCGAGCTTCAGGATGCCGCAAAGAGGCGGGAGATTGAGATGGAGATCCAGACGAGGGAGCAACGGCAGGCTTCCGCTAAGTCACATCCAATAGCCAGTGTTGCAAATATCGGCCTAGGCGGCCGATTAATCAGACGTGGTCAAAATCGGCCTCTCTAATCAGACGTGGTCAAAATCGGTCAAAGCCGGAGATTATTGGAGCTAGGCGGGTCTAGGCGCTCTAATTGGTCAACGCAAGTCAACAAAACTTAAAAACTTTCAGGGGCTAAATTGTCAAAATGTAAAGATTGATGGTAGGGTTTCTTCCGATTACCCCATTCCATCGTATTCAATTTTTTTCTCATATTGAAATTCTCTCTGTCGGACTCAAGGAAGGAACGAACGAGCGCCTCCATGTTCTTCTCCATTCACGGCGTCGTCATCTTCTTCTCCGTTCACGCCGCCGCCATCTTCCTCATTAGAACTTCGTCTGAAGTAGACCGGTATCATCTGAAGTTCTTTGTCTTCTGCTGAAGCTTCTTTGTGAGGCTCCGACACCTTCCGTTCCTCGTCTGGCATCTTCTGTTCATCCTCCGACTTCTCCTTCAGGTTAGTCTCTAGTCTACACTTCTCATTCTTCCACTTGTTGTATGAATTGCAATTTCTAGAAATTATTTGGGGAAGAAAACGGGCTTAAGCATTTTTTACAATCTGTTTAAGCATTTTCTAGAATCTGTTTAAGCATTTTTTTAGAATCTGTTTAAACATTTTCTAGAAATTATTTCAGGTTAGTCTTCGTCTTCTGTTCCTCGTCTACCAGTTTATAGAATATGTTTAAGCATTTTTTTAATCTAATCTGTTTCCAGTTCAAGTTTCCAGCTCTAATTTGTTTAATCTGTTGTGTTATATACCAATTATTAAGTGATATTTCTTGAAATGCTATGGCAGATCCTTGTTGAATCTTTAGGAATGCACAGGAGGTGAACTTTTTTGCATGTCTAGTTTTTATAAATATAAATAACTTTGTAATCTTGATTCATGTTCTTGACTATTTGAGTTATGTATTCATCAGTTATGGCGTTAAAGTAAGGGATTTATCAAAAAGAATCTATGTCTCTGATGAAGATAGAGAGTATGCTTCAGAAAGAATAGAAGAAATACATTCCAAATTGCAGCATGATTTTCCTAGCTTCTTAAAACCAATGCTTATATCCCATGTTTCAGGTGGTTTTGGCTGGTAAGTTCAAAAGAGATTATTATACCCATTATAGCTATATTCATGAGGTCCTATGTTCAATAAAGAATTTTAAGAACATGAAATATGTTTAGGTCTTCAAATTCCCATGTAACATGTTATTATGATTTGTAATTAGGGTCTTCCTGTGATGAAATAATGACACTTGTTGATGAAGATGGTGATGAGTAACCAACAAACTACCTCCCTAGAAAAACAGGACTTAGTGGAGGATGGAAAGCATTTGATAAAGATCATAAACTTGTTGATCATGATTCATTAGTTTTCCAAGTCATAAAGCCCACCGTTTTTAAGGTTATTTAGATTTGATGTATTAAGGATCAAATGGTTTTTTTGTAATAATAGTTTCATGTTATAATGTTATATTTATTAATTTTTTAATAATTTTTTTAATTGATATAAATTTATATTTATTGATGTTATATTTAATGATATATTCTTAGGATTAATATTATATTTATTAAAATTTTAATAATTAATGGTCTCCGATTAATCCCCCAATTAATCTCCGCCTAACTGATTAATCCCTTGACCCCAGTCCACCGCCGAGCGATTTTTGCAACCTTGCCAACAGCGAAGCGGTTTAAGCCCGTTGATTTACGATTAGGAGGCCAAAGGGTCCGCACTTGTGGCAAGCGTGACAAGGTTCATGATGTTGTTTTCCGCTCTTCTTCTGGATGCCATAAATGTGGAAAGGAGGGGCATTATGCGAGGGATTGTCTCCAGTAGGCCCCAGTGTCAAGTATCAGGATTTGTTACCATTGCGAGTAGGTGGGCCATGTAAAGGCCCAGCGTCCATTTCTTACCTCTAGGCCCGTGCAGGAACCCACTACTTCTACCCTTTGGATTACAGATGGATGCCACGGTAGGGCGGAGCCCCCAAAGGATCGGGGTCTTGCTTTTCAGCTCACAGCGGAGGAGGCCAGGGTGGCACCAGACGTTGGTACTGGTATGTTTTCATTTATTATTTTTCTAGTTATTGTATGGTATGATTATGTTTATGATTCTGCTAGGTACCTTCTTAGTGATCTCCAAGCATGCTCTTGTGCTTTTTGACTCGAGTGCGAGTTGGTATTTTTGTCTCAGTCTTTTAGTAGGAGTTTTGAGATGACTCTTGGAGAGTTGGAGCGTTCGTTGCAGGTTTCTATCGCCAAAAAACACGGGGTTTCGGCATCGATTGGCTATCGGGGTTGTGTTATGGAGATTTTCAGGGTGTCTTACCTGATTGATCTGATTCCTATCCCCATTGGGGATGTATGTGTAATAGTAAGGATGGAGTGGTTGAGTAGGTTTGGTGCGGTGATTGATTGCGAGGGTCAGTGGGTGGTAGTTTGAACCCCAAGTGGGGGAGAACTGGTTATTTATGGAGAGGGTACCAGGGTTGGATAAGCCTTTTATTCTGTAGCCAGGGCTCGACAATATCTTTAACATGGGTGTTTCGGTTACCTCGCGTATGTGGTTGACACTCAATTTGGGAAGGAGGTTTTGGTTACGAATGTGCCTGTAGTTAGAGAGTTTGTAGATTTTTTCCTAGAGGAGTTACCCGGTGTGCCTCCTGAGAGGCAGATTGAGTTCAAGATTGATTTGGTACCCTGTGCGACTCCGATTGCTAAGGTGTCATACCAATTGGCACAACCAGAGATGCATGAGTTGTCTTCTTAGCTTCAGGAGCTTTTGGGCAAGCAATTTATTAAATTGAGCATTTCGCCATAGGGAGAACCGATCTTGTTTGTTAAGAAGAAGGACGGGTCACACCGGATGTGCATTGATTACCGGGAGTTGAACAAGTTAATGGTAAAGAACCGTTATCCACTTCCACGGATTGATGACCTCTTAGATCAGTTGCAGGGTGCATCTTGGTTCTCCAAGATTGATTTGAGGTCAGGGTATCATCATATGAGGGTTAGAGAGGAGGGCGTGGAGAAGAGTGCGTTTCAGAATCGTTATGGTCATTACGAGTTTGTGTTGATGCCGTTTGAGCTCACCAATGCGCCTACAACATTTATGGATTTGATGAATCGAGTGTGCAGGCTGATGCTTGATCGATCAGTCATTGTTTTTATTTATGATATCCTGGTTTATTCTGGGAGTTTTGAGGCAGAAACTGTTGTATGCTAAGTTATTGAAGTGTAAGTTTTGGTTACGGAAGGTCCAGTTCTTAGGACACCTCGTTAACTAGAATAGAATTCTGGTCGACCCGACCAAGATTGAGGTCGTGATGCAGTGGGAGGTTTTGAAGTCTCAATCGGAGATTAGGAGTTTTCTGGGTTTAGCCGGGTATTATCATAGATTCATTTAGGATTTATCCAAGGTTGTTGTACCCCTCACTCATCTGAAAAGGAAGGGAGTGGATTTCCGTTGGGGGGCTGAGCAGCATGTTGCATTCGAGACACTGAGGCGTAATTTATGTGAGGCCCTAATGTTGACCATTCCTGAGGGTGTTGAGGATATTGTTGTTTATTATGATGCTTCCATCACTGGTATGGGGGCATTTATTATGCAGCGAGGGAGGGTTAATGCGTATGATTCTAGGTAGCTGAAGCCGCATGAGGTCCGGTATTCGACACATGATTTGGAGTTGGGAGAAGTGGTGTTTGCTCTCAAGATTTGGCGGTATTATCTGTATGGGTTTCGGTGTACCACCTACACGGATCACAAGAGTTTGAGATATCTCATGGATCAGTCGAATATGAACATGAGACATCATAAGTGGATTGACGTGGTCAAGAATTATGCATGACTGTAAGATTCTTTACCACCTGGGGGAAGCGAATGTGGTCGCTAATGCTTTGAGCCACAATTCGTCTAGTTCTTATGTTGGAAGACTATGTATGAGGATTTCGATTGACTCTCCGCTTCTGGATTTGATTAGGGAGGCTCGGGCCAAAGGAGTCAAGGAGGAGAACTGGAAGTAGGAGAGACTCATGGGTGAGATTGACAGGTTTTCTACTGATAGTCTTGGATTGTTGACCCGGAGTAGTCGGGTTTGGGTACCAGATTTCGGTGGGATCAGGTAGACTATGTCGGAGGAGGCATAAAAGTCCAAATTTTCGATACACCCTGGAGCCACCAAGATGTATCAAGATTTGCGACTTAGTTACTGGTGGTCGTGCATGAAGAGGGAGATAGCTTGGTATGTTGAGAAGTTCTTGACCTATCGGACGGTCAAGGCCGAGCACCAGAGGCCGAATGACAAGCTTCATCCTTTGGAGGTTCCTATATGGAAATGGGAGTAGATCACCATGGATTTCATCACCAAGCTACCTCGGATGACTAAGAGATTTGATGCGATTTGGGTGATAGTGGACCGTGTGACCAAGAGTGCCCACTTCTTAGCTATTTGAGAGATTTCCTCGGCTGAGAAATTGGTCGATGTGTATGTGCACGAGATCGTCGCCTGACATGGTGTTCCGGTTTCTATTATATCATATTGGGATTTTCGGTTCACTTTGTGGTTTCGGTAGAGGTTCCCCGAGGAACTAGGTATGAGGTTGCAGTTTAGCACGGCTTATCATCCACATAATGATGGACAGAGTGAGAGGACCATTTAGACGTATGGGGATATGTTGTAAGCCTATGTGATCGATTTGGTGGGAGTTGGGACTCCTACCTTCCCCTAGCCAAGTTTTCATACAACAACAACTATCACCCCAGTATCGGTGCGCCGCCGTTTGAGGTTGCCTATGGGAGGAAATATCGTACCCCTGTATGTTGGGGAGAAGTCGGTCACAGGTTCATGGGGAAAAATAAGGTGGTTCTTCAGAGGACAGAGCTTATACAGCAGATCAGACAGAGATTGCAGACAACACAGAGTCGACAGAAGAGTTATGCCACCAGGCGTCGATCTGAGTTGGAGTTCCAGGTCGGCGACATGGTTTTACTGAAGGTATCACCCTGGAAGGGTGTAATACGCTTTAGGAAGAGGGGCAAGTTGGGGCCCTAATATATTGGTTCGTTTCGAGTGATTGCTAGGGTAGCTTACCAGCTGGATTTGCCTGAGGAGCTCAGTCAGTTTCACAACACCTTCCATGTTTCTCAGCTTCAGAAGTGTGTGGCTGATGACTCTAAATTTGTTCCTCTGGATGATATTCAAGTTGATGATCGCTGGGATTATGTTGAGAGTCCATTGGCGATTCTGGATAGGAAGATGAAGGCATTTCACAACAAGGAGGTATCATTGGTCAAGGTCCAGTGACAACATCGGAAGGGTTCCAAATGGACTTGGGAACCCGAGGCAGAGATGCGAGAATATTACCCTGAGTTATTTGCGGAAGTGGACTTCGAGGACAAAGTCTGATTCATTTGGTGGAGAATTGTAACATCTTAATTTAGGTAATTTACATCTTTAACCCTGGTATGAAAATTGTTTGCAAAATTGGTCCCTTTTATCCTTTTAATGAAAAGTGTGGGTTTATCTGGTATGCTGGGCTTACGTGGTCAGGGGTCAAACCCTAATTTTTAGAGTTTGGATCATATTTAAACACCCTTAACTCCCAAGACCCCCTTCATTCATCAGCCTCCATCTCCATTTTCATCCTAAGTAAATCCTAATCCCTTGTGGCTGCATTCTTAACTTCAAAGTGTGCTTTGTGGTGACCTTGACGGAAGGAGAAGGAGAAGAAACCATCTTATAAGAGTAAAGCACTTTGGATCTAGAAGTATCTTGCCTTCAAGCTTCATTTGAAGGTATAAAGCTCTGAACATGTTGGTTATTCCTTTAGATCTTGTTAGAGGTGGAGTTTTGTGCTTATTTGCCCCATATCCTTGGTCCTTTTGAGTATGAGCTACTCTAGACCAAATGAGTTGTCCTTCTGGACGTTTTAGGGTGTCTAGAGTGATAAAATGGAATCTTAATTGTCCTTATCCCTCCATGCATGCTATTTAGTGGTTTAGAGTTTGTGTTAAGTTAGAGTTTTGGTATTGGACACTTAATAGCCACACAAGATCATAAAGTTGGAAACTTTATGATTAAGAACATTACTTGAGGACTAGATCTGTGTTTTGGACGAAGTGTCTAAATGGATTAAGCACTTATTAGAAAGGAAAGTTGACAGACGTGTATTCTAGATGTACCTGATGGTACACTGCGCGTACGTGGTGAATTCCCCAAAATCTAGTCAAATGCGTATTACGCCACGCGTACATGCTGAGTACGCTGGGCGTACTCAGCTGTGTTGACTCGGTTGACCCCTTTGACTTTTAACTTTGACTAGGATTTTGACTAAGTTTTACCTAGGGGTATTTTGAGCTGTGGACTGAGTTCCGGTTACTAGTTATTGTTAAGGTGATCGGTAGAGTTCGTATTCAGAGCAGCGTGTTGTTCAACTATTTCGTTAGTATATGAGGTGAGTTTTCCTCACTGTAATTATGGGTCGAAGGCACTAATGCCGACCCACTGGATTATGTATCCTGGTATATTGGATGATGTTATGCTGGTTATATCCTAGACTGGTAGATCTGTATGATTACCTGAGTTCACCGAGTATGTGTTAGACTGGTAGATCTATATGATTATCTGTGTTGCTGGTTACTAATTGTTATTATATATCTCGACATGTTATGGTTTGTTGGGTTGAGGCGGTCCAACTTTGTGATGAAGGCCAAGACACCCGAGGCGGTCCGGATAAACGGAAGGCCTAATGAGGCGGTCCAGTCGGTCCGAAGGGCCGGAGATCGGTCCAGATAGACTATAGGCCCAGTGAGGCGGTCTAGTCATACCGAAGGCGCTAGGAGCGGTCCAGATAGGCTGCATGCCCTGAGAGGCGGTCCAGTCAGGCTGAAGGCTCATGTATGCATGTTGTTATCTGTATGGTTATGTGTGTGTGGTACTTAGGGGAACCCACTAAGATTTTGCTTACAATTTCACTTTATTGTTTCAGGCACTTTAGATGATCGGGGGAAAGCAAAGGCGTGATCGTGCACATCCTTCTGGTTTTATGATATACAATTTTGGGATACTTTGATTATGCTTATTAATTTTGAAACAATGTTTTGTAAACAATTATGGTCTTTGGATTGGTTCTGAAAAATGAAAAATTTACTCCAATTTTTGGGATGTTACAATCTCCAATTATGGAAACATTTCCATATTCCCAAATGACCATCAATTATAACCAAGAATTATTTCAATCCATAATGTGTCAGTATACTCCTTCCCAAATAATATCACACTTCTAATTGTCCACAAGCAACCAGTCTTCGGTAAAACCATAGAATGTTCTTGACAGTTACTTAACAACTTTAATCACACAAAATTCTAACCCTTTTCTCACAATGTTCAAGGCATTTGAAAAAAATTAGAATAAGTAAATATTATAACATATGTGATCAATCCTATATCCAAGGCATATGGGGTTCGACTCATTATGTCCTACATAAGGATTTTATATTTGTTTAAATCCTTGCTATAATATTTCTATATATATATATATATATATATATATATATATATAATATATATATATATATATATATATATATATATATATATATATATATATATATATATATCGAATCTTCTATTTTGAAACATTTCAACATGATATTTGTAACATCCTGTTGCAGATCGTTTGTGATTTAAGGCTCGTGGGCCGTAACCCAGGCATGAGAAGGTTTTGAGGATTTGAAGGAGAAAGGTTTAGGCCCTTTTTGGATATGGATAAGGTAGGTTGTGTGATAAAAGGGTTCGATCTGTGCTTTAGAGTCCAAGAGTATCGATAAAGGCGTTGGCTCGGTCTTTTATGAATTTTGGATTTTATTCGTGGAGATTTAAGGCCGTGATGTGTTGCTAGAAGCGTAGGGATTCTCGCCACCTTTCTGTGGATATAAGGTTCGTTGGAAACGAACTTATAACGAAGAAGTTATGATAGTTTAGAGTTTTGGCAAGTTTCACTACTAGAAAAACAGCCTTTTACGACGCGCAATCAATGACACGCGCTGATAGAGGACACACATTTGTGCGTGCCCTAAAAATTGATGTCAGTTTTCCAAAATATGAAGCATAGAGGACACACATTTATGTGTGCCCTAAAATTAGTGTCCAACAAAAAATTAAAAACACGGAGGGCACCTACTATAAAAAAGTACGTCGTGTAGAACTGTCGTTTTATAATAATTTTTCATCAACGCGCGTTCTTTAATTTTTTCATTTCCAAGGGGGGAATCAAATACCAAAAACTTGAAAACCCCGTCTGATACTCTCCTCCTTCTTCTTCGTATGTTGTGAAATCCTCTTCGATCAAAAGAAACCCTAAAAGCATTGTGTGGGTTCCTGATATTCGATTTTTAGTTGTGAAGTTCCTGAAATCATATTTTTGACTTCGATATGCGATTTTTTTGAATTGATATTTGGTGTGTAGAAGATCGATATTTTCAATGTGGCGAGTGAATCAGGAGCGAGAGGTCCTCGCTGTTAATGGCTGGTTTCCAACTGCAAATGACTTGGCAAACGAGTTTGTTGTTGAAGAAACGAAAGAACGATCCTCCATTAGGGTTCAAGAATCTCGGTAATACCTGCTACCTCAACGCCGTTCTCCAGTGCTTAACCTATACTCCTCCCCTCGCCAATTTCTGTCTCCGAATTCAACACTCCGAAAACTGTATGTGCTCTTCTTCTACTTACTCACATACGCACACACGCACGTTAGCGTATCTAAATTTTCATGAATTTTAACCTAATTTTTCATTGCGTTCGGTAAATTGTTCCACTTCGTTAACATAAATTTCCCTAATTCGATAGGCAAGTTCCTGGCGCATCAGGACAAGAAGAGTGATTGTCCGTTTTGTCTACTGGAGAAGAGAATTGTTCGATCTCTTAGCATCGACTCAACCCTAGATACACCTGGTAAGATCATTGGTGGATTGAAAGTCTTTGCTGAGCATTTTCGTTTAGGGAGGCAAGAGGATGCAAATGAATTCCTTCGGTACGTCATTGATGCTTGTCATACCACATGTCTTCGTTTGAAGAAGTTGCAGCAGCAAAGACGGAAGTATGTCAGCAATGGAGGAGGTGATGGCTTTAATGGCAGCACAGTAGTTAAGGAGATTTTTGGAGGAGCTTTGCAGAGCCAGGTCAAGTGTCTTGCATGTGGAAATGAGTCCAATAAGGTTGATGAGATAATATATATTAGTGTTGATGTCTTGAATAGTAGCTCTCTCAAGGAAGCTTTTCAGAAGTTTTTTCAACCAGAGATTCTGGATGGAAATAACAAATACAAGTGTGATAAGTAAGCATACCAGTTTTTGCTTTTGTTGTTTGGTCATCTTCATTAATATAGATGGTCTGAGATAAGAACTTGTGCTTTTGTAGCTGTAAAAAGTTGGTAGCAGCAAGAAAACAGATGTCTATTGTGCAAGCACCTAACATTCTTGTTATTCAACTCTAGGTATGATCAATGGCCATTGTTTTATAAAGTTTTCTTTTAGTATCAAGAAGGTGGTGGATAATTAAGTTGTTCTTTTGGTTGGATAGAGGCTTGAGGGAATATTTGATGGGAATATAGACAAATCAATTGCTTTTGAGGAAGTATTAGTTCTTTCAAGCTTCATGTGCAAAACAAGCCAGGTATGTAGTGCTACTTTACTCTTATTCTTAAGTTTGTTGTATTGGGTTGCCTTGACTTGAAAAAATGTCTTTTCTGTCAGAATAAATTTATTTATTACTCCAAAGCACACCCTAAATAGACATAAAACCAAAACAAAAAGTAGACATAGAATTTGATAAGGGTGCATTACATGAAATGGCTGTTTATATTTCAAAAGCTTTACCTGTGGGACATTTTCAAAAGATTGCATCTGTGGCAACAAACATACAAATGAGTAAGGTTTTTTTTAACATTTTATTTAGTATTTACATAACATAACAAGGGTAAAATGTCATATGGCTTATTCTCTGATATTATCATGTTGCTGCTACACCTAATGCATAAGGAGAAAGCCGAGGAAGACTCTGAATATCACTGTATGCATTAAAAAAATTATATATTTTAATTAATTTGGAAGTTAATTGTTATGATTGATAGGGTGGGTGGTGTGATGAATTTCTATCGTGTATGACGACTTTACCATATTCCTATCCTTTTACTACATTAACCTTCAATTCTTTTACATGATTATTTATTTAGTTCAAGAATCAAATTGTTAGTTAAGAATGTTGAATTAGATTATGCTTCATTGAATTTTAATGTCATCTTTTCAGGTTCCAGCTACAAGTAACAAAGGAGCTGGACCTTCTATGTTAGAAGGGCGAAGTGGCTATGGTTCAACCATGCAATACTCACCAAAATTCACATCTGGGGACTACCCTGCAACTACCCAAAAGTATGGCCAGAAAGGGGAAAAGATGCTAACTGATTATCCATCAGGGAGAGAGATAGATTCCCATATGCTGAAAGAGCAAGTGCATATTTTGGGAGAGATTTGCAAAATGAGTCATCTGTTTGGTTTGCTGACTCCATTGCTTTTGGTTATCAACATCAGGTTTTGGGTGCATAAATTTAATCTTTTTACATCAAATCTCTCCAATCAGTTTTGCTGATGTGTAACATTTGTCTACATCCTGACATTTATGATCATTTATATGTAGCATCAGCACTATGCCAAGAACTGCTCCATGCCCAGTCATAAAGGTCTACACTCATGCTTTTCTGTTCCTCAATAAAAAACTGAAAATAGAACTACTGGTAGTTGTGATTCCTATCATTAAATGATGGGTTTTGAGCATTTTAACACTCCTATGGTGTACATGCAACCCTAGAAACCTTGTATCTATGTTTTCTCTATTATACATGCAAACTTTGATTTTTCCAAGGTTTCATCCTAACTAGCATATTATGGGGTATATGTAATATAAAAAAAAACTAGTAGAATGACATACCTTTCCTGTAGCTTGGATTCCTTAAGACCTTGTGAGCCTAGCACCCCAAATGTGATGCCTCAAATGTTTCACACAACACCACAATTCTTGGAATAACTTGAGAGAAGAACACTTGTGCACAAAAATCGGCTAGCCCTCACTCTTATGTCTTAGTCCGATTTTGCTTGCCATGGGGCTCTTTATATAGTGTGCCACATGTAGGGTTACACCATGTAAACCCTAATGTGCATGAATTTTCATTTCCTCCATGATCCATGGGTTTTAACCTCCATGGAGCATCCATGGAGAACCCTATGGGTTTTAGCCCAATCCAGTGAATCATGGATCATAAGCCCACTATATAAGAATGGATGATTTACCAAATCAATCCTCATATATTTAATTAGTCTCTTTTGATCACAAAATTAATTCCAAATTAATTCTTGATCAATACTAATTAAATAATATGATTTCATATTAACATATTAGAGCTTATAATATATTAACAAATCATAAGTGTCCTTTTTCTCATTTGTCTATCCAATTGTTATGATGCCATGCAACCCAAATGGACCATGCTAAATTGGGTCAAGTACATACCAAATATAGTTATGGGCTTAGACATCTAGTCCAACATAAAGTTCTATTCACATGGTTTCTTTTTTATTGTTTTTATTTTCAGGTTATAGATGCTTGTGCTAAATGAAACTTGGGTCATTTTATAAATCACAACTTTCAACCAAATTGTCACCCTGAAAAGGTTAGTTTACTTGAATTCAGTTTATTTGAATATTAAATCATAAATTTACATTCTCACTGGAAAATATATGTTTGAATGTTGTTTAATTTGTCAACTTACTACTTAATTTGTGTTTTATCTGACCAATGGATGGTTAATGCCTTAATGGGGAAGTCTGCATTGGACTCTTTGCAATAAGATATATTAAGAAGGTATGCACATCTTTTGCTGTATATTATTTGTTGTAATACACATATAAATGTAACTACCATGCTATATCTTGCAAGTAATGTCTACTGTATTCACATGTCATGGTATATTATATTCTTAAATTAAATTGTGATGATAACATAGTTCCTATTGGGTCAACAGAAAGACAAGTTTCGTTTGAAAGATGTTCATCAGAAAGTAAAATAGAATAACATATGGATGTTTACTTTAATAAAGTGAATGATGTAATTTTAAATCCATAATCGCGACCAAGCTCGAGTTGTGGTCGTCGATCGATTTCAGGTGATGTACTTCAAATACTTTTCCTACATATGGACCCAATATTATCCCTCCCCAGACTTAAAATGCTTTTAGTTAAGTTTCTAATTATCTACACATTATTTCTTTTTTCTTTTTCATTTCTATTTTGCTTAACATATGGATACTTTGTGCTACTTGGCCCTTTCTTTAGGAAACCATTAGTCTATTATTTCAATCGGGCATCTTATCACAAAATTGAACTGAAACATTGGACTGTTTAGTTATAATTATGAAGTTTGTTTTGATTTCACATATACATCCAAAAGTTGCAGAGATCACATAACATATACATAAACTTTTTGTGATTTCCTCATAAGTCATAACTATATGGTGTTTAAATAAGCTGTTTGGCTTTATCTTTTTAGATCATATCTCCATCACATGAATCTTTCTTGTGATCACTTGATGCATCATTTGCAGGTGGAGAAAATACCACTTACTTTCCAATCTGAAGAACACTACTTTCGTTCTTTTGTGTATCCTTTTCTTGAGGAAACACGTAAAGAACTGGATTCCAGTATGAAGATGATGTACAAAGCTACATTTTCTAAAATTTATTCTTTTAAGAAGGCCAAAGGAAAAGAGAAAACGATGTATGATGTTACTTTTGGTAATTGGAGAAACACTGAACGCTGAAAAGAGCCTTATCAGACTTTACCTGGTCATCTGCTTATTTTAACAAATGGGGAAGCCGGATCTGGTTCTGATTTACAAAGTTTGGGTAGTACATGTGAACCTTGGATTTAACAAATGGAGAACCCTTGATTCTTGGCAAATGGTATTTTACTACATGTGTATTAAATTTTAATATTTTATGACATTGACTGATGATGCTTGAAGCCTTTCTGAATACTAATGTGTTGATGATGAAAACATGTATCATGTGGAAACAGAAGCGTAACAATAAGAAATAGAAACAAGAAGGTGTTCCTTAATAGCAATGTAGTATTAGGTTATATAGTTAGGGAAAACCTCTTAATAACAATGTACAATCAGATCCCCTTAATACCAATGTATTACAATTTTTTGAAATGATGTTATTGGATGAAATTGATTGTTTTGGTATATATTTGTTTCCATATTTTTGTATTATGCGTAAATGAGTATCATAAAGATGCGTCGTAAATGTATATCGTAAATGGTTGTTGAAGTTTATGACACGCAAATGCGTGTCATCTTCCTTTATGACAGGGGCTTCCTTGATACGCATTGCGTGTCATAAACAAGCGCGTCGTAAGGTTACGACATGCAAATGCATGTCATCATTTTTTATGACATGGCCTTCCTTGATACACATTGCGGGTCGTAGATGCGTGTCATAAATGCGCGTCGTAAATAGACGACGCACAAAAGCGTGTCGTCTCTCGTTATGACAGGGCCTTCCTTGACACACATTTGCGCGTCGTCTGAGCGTTTTACGATGCACATTGCACGTCGTAAAAGGCTGTTTTTCTAGTAGTGTTTAGTCCTTACTGAGAAATGGGTGGAAATTGGGTACGCGAGGCGTACACTTATGTACACGCAACGTACTCATGCGCATTTCATGATCGCGGAGGCCACCTAGTACACTGAGCATACCAGAGGGTGCGCTGGGCGTTCTAGGTCCATAAAGAAACCCTAATATTTTGAGGTGACCCTATTTAAGGAACATGATGGCCTGATTTTCAACCACCATTTCCAGTCTCCAAGCCCTCTCAAACCCTAATTTCGTTTCCCCTAGATTGCGTGAGTATGGAGGCTCATTTGAATGTTCTTGGTGTAGCTCTTGGTGAAGAAGGAGCCTTGAAAGAGGATATCTTGTGCTTCTAGCTTTTGGATCTGAGTTCTACGCTTGTTGGTGCATCTTCCGAAGGTATCAAGTTCGAAACTTTCTCATTGTTGTGATAGTTTTGGTTTTGGGTCCATTTTTAGGGTTTTATGTCCCAAGATTGGAGCTTTGTGAGTTTGGTGAACTCCAGAGTAAATCTCCTGTCCTTTTAAGTGTATTGGGTTGCCTTGATTCATAAAAAATGAGAACTATGTTGTCTAGACCTCTTCATGCATGTGTTAGGATGATTTAAGAGAGTCTTAATGGTTATTTTTTGAAGTTGGATCCGATTAAGACATGAAAACTGATAAAGTCGCCAACTTTATCAGTTAGGAGCTTGTAATGAAGCTTCCCTAATGATTGGATGCTTTGGGCTGAAGTGGTTAAGTCGAAAATAGAGTTTTTGGACCTGAGTCGTGAGCCCCACGTAAGTCCCAGTACGCCCCGCGTACTGGTCTAGTTTCCCCGATCAGGAGTCGAGTGTACGCTGAGCGTACCTGGGGAGGTATGCCCCACGTAGTCTCGTTGTGGGCTTGTTGCGTTTTGGGCTTCGTATCCTTGAGCCGTTTTGTTTGTACTTTATGTTTGGGCCCTCTGGGCTGTGTGAGATTATTGTTGGGCTAAGAGAAGCCTTGGGCTTAGGATAAGGCCCATATTGGGGTTGGGCCCAATTTGGAAAATGGGCCATTAGTAGGCCTTTTGTGGATCTCTTGGTTGGGCCTTGGTGGTCCCATTGGGTTTGGGTCATTGTGAGCCTGTTTGGGTGGGGCGTTCTTTGGGGCGCAGTGTTGGGGTGTAGCCTTGCGTAGTTTTTGATTATGTTGTTGGGTTGTTTTGGCCAGTTCAGGAGCCAGTGCGCAGCAGCAGTGTAGGATTTCTTGTGTAGCAGTTGAGGTGAGTCTTCTCACTATAATTACCTGTGTGGTAATGCATGCGTGACCGGAGGGTCTTATTTGTGTTATTGACCGGAGGGTCTTATGTATGTTGTTGACCGGAGGATCTTTTTTACATTATTGACCGGAGGGTCTTATTTGTTTTACTGACCGGAGGGTCTTATCTGCTTTATTTGTTATTATGCATTCTGTCTTTGTGACTTATGCTGTTATATTATTCTATATATATGTTGAGCTATGACTGGAGGGTCTATATCGAGACGTGGGGCCGAAGGGTCTTCACTGAGACACTTGACCAGAGGGTCCTTATCGAGATATTGCCATAAGAGGCTTACTATTTGTGTATGTGGTATTTTGGGGAACTCAGTAAGCTTCATGCTTACAGTGTTGATTTAAATGTGTTTCAGGTACTTCTGTATATTCCGGGGAGGCGAAGGCATGATTGTACACATACGCCGACTCATGAAGATTTGTGGATTTTGGGATACTCTGATATTGTTTTGAAATTGACTTATAACTTCTGTGATAATTTGGGATTATGAGTATTGTTTGGTGAATTAAAATGAAAATTTGTCTCGAAATTTGAGGTGTTACAAGTTGGTATCAGAGCCTTGGTGTGAGGGATCCGAGCACACCCTCGGGTATGTCTGGACTCAAACTGAGGAGTTGATAAATTTTTCAAAGGAAATGTTTTTTCATCACACGATTTTCCAAGGAAGTTAAAGAGATTTAAAAGCAGATCCGAAGCGATGTGTAAAATCAGCCAGAGCCCGAGCGGTGATTTTCCAAAATACCCTTACTTGATTATGTGTTGTGATGAGTTGTTATTATGAGTTAATAGAATTGCATGCTAGTGTGCATGCTTAGGAGAGATGCCTTTATGCATGTTATGTGAGTTACTAGTGTTGCATGCTTATGATTAGAGATCTCCAGGAGGTGAGAAGTAGGATTGACTGAATTCGATGATACCTTTTGTGTCGTGGAGAGAGAAATTGGGGTTGTATGCTAGAGTTGTTTGATGTGCTGGTGGAGGTTGCTTGATGCCTGAATGATGCTTTCTTTGTGCCTTAGAGACTTCCATTAACACCGATTAACTATTAACCGAATACTTTGGGTTACATGTTTCATGGAGTAGATAATTTTAGAAGGCTAGATTTAACTCTATTGCGCGGCTATTGGGTGAGTCTACTCGTTGTAGGGCGGGATCTTGCAGTCAAAGAATTATCTAGTGCATGTAGCATGTAATTGTATTCGGGGAGTAGTTAGAAGGTATTAATCAGGGTTCCTTTCGCAGCTTATGGCGGAGAGAGGAGTGAAGGGAATCCTAGGAGAGCCTATGGAGTATTTTCAGTCCGATGAGTGCGCTGTTTAGCGGTGAGTATTCGCTGGAAAGCGAGCATGTGGAATGAGATTGGCCGATAGGGGAAGTTGAGCAGCTACCTAGAAAATCTGGAACGATCCTTGAGGAAAGTATGGATAGACGTGGAAGGTAGTATTGCGCCCGTACTACTAAAAGCAGAGGATCCATACTCAAAATGTGTAACATCCTGATTCCGGGGTATAACATTTCTATTGTAATAATGAGTTTCATGGGCGACTCGACGAGTTAATGCCTCAACTCGTCGAGTAGAGTCGCGTTGGGTGACGAGGATTAATGAGCTGACTCGATGAGTCTATGTTTCGACTCGCCGAGTCAGCGCTGGTGAAGGAAACCTTAAACTTTCGGGCATGTGACCTATTTAAAGGCACTTATAGCCTCATTTGCGACTCATCTTCTGATCAACTCTCCTGTGTGAAACCCTAGGCGGCCGTGGAAGCTAAGAGAGAGTCCTTGAGCTTATATCAATTGTTTTGATGGACCTTTTTGGAAGAAGAGGAGTGAGCTTCAAGCAAGGAGTGGGATGAGGCTGTGGGATCTAGCATTTCTTCTCAAAGAGCTTCTCTGGAAGGTAAAAAGCACACACCTTTCTCATCTATTTAGTTGGATCTCATATCTATGAAAATTTAGGGCTTTTGTCATTTTGGTTGGGTTTTTGAGTAGCATGTGTTATCCAGAAGTCTAGACCTCAGATATGGACCTTGTGAGGTCCTTAGAGTTTAGATGTCCCATCTTTATTCATCCATATGAAGGTTTTTGGGCTTAATAATTCATGAAAGGCATGTATTAGAATTTTGGAGCAATAACCTCATGTATGAACGTAAAGATCGAAGCTTTACGTGATTATTGAGCCTTGAGATGATAGATCTAGTGTTTGGAGTGATAGATCTAATTGAAATCGTCTGAATGAACATTTGGTCTGAATGAACTCGCCAAGTCAATGAGCCGACTCGACGAGTTGGTTAGGGTTTGTCCCGAAGAGCTGAATCATGCGATAGCTCGACGAGTTAGGGGTCAACTAGATGAGCTGAGCTGGACTTTCTCGAGACTTCTGAGGAAATAAGTGGACTCGACGAGTCACAAGGGTGCACTCGGCGAGTCTGGTCAAAATTGGACCGTTGACTGGAGTTGACTTCAGTTGACCTTAGGGTTTGGTCAAACTGATTAAGAAGGGTCAAGGAGGGGGTAGAATGGTCTTCTACCCATTCTCTAGAGATGAGGATGTAAAGAGAGTATTGATTAGAATTATTATCATTGTGCTAGGTGGAGGCTAGATCGAGGATATCGAGCACGAGAGTTTACTAGGCATCTTACGAGGTGAGTCTTCTCACTATACATTACCTAGAGTGGTATTTATGTGCAGAACGGAGGGTCTTATGTATTATGTGTTTACTTGAGATTATGTGCTTTGTGATTTAGGTATGCTATGTGATATTTAGACCGGACCGGAGGGTCCAACGACTTACGAGGCCAGAGGGTCCTCAAGCAGACCGGACCGGAGGGTCCAACGATTTAGACCGGACCAGAGGGTCCAACGAGCTAGACCGGACCGGAGGGT